TGCAACTCTCAGCTCTACTTGTACACCATCTTGTCAGACATTGACACGTCGGAAGATGGTCAATGTTTACATCCAGATAGCATCTGTGTGCTGACAGGAGGCTTTGTCTCCAAGATTGTACGAGTTAACTGCTCGTTGACGGAACTCACGGGGAAGCTAAAGAATGCAAACACGTCTGCCCTTAACCATTTGCAACACTTTGTTGTGATGTTCTGGACAGTCGTAGACAGCGTTAGCTCTATCCTCCCTCAAACGTTAGAGAGTTGTTTCCATGTGCAGAACAGCCACAGGAAACCACAGTGCTACTAAAAAACAAGCCAGTGACTTAAAACAGTACAGTATAATTAAAGATATTCTAGACAGCCTGCTACTAGTTACAATAACATTTTTTTCTACCTCTGAGAGAAGTCATGCACTAAAGGCTGTATGATTACAAGATTAAAAAAAAACTCATATATCACACATATATCACTGTGGATCAACATGGGTTTTCCATCTAAACATGTCACAGGACACCAGGCGTCAGTCCTCACTGTGATCCACGAACTCTTGCACACTTTGTATTCCAGCCTCGTGCAGCAGCCGAGCAAAAGATTCATTTAAAAGTCTCCTTTATTCATCATTCATCAACCTGTCGTGGTCTGTGAGAACGTTTATATCTAATGTCGTTATTAATTTATTGACATTCATTTATTGGACCATTGACTTCCCAGACATTTGTAATGCAGTCTCACCTCTCATCCTTATGTAAAGTTCAGTGGTGTGTTTCCATTTATAGTGATCTATTTTTACTTTATTGAGTAGCCATTTATTTAACATATATATGTCTATGCATTAGAAATTCTCATCCTGATTATATAATGCGAACAGTAATTTCTACACATGAAGTATTAAGAATTATATTTATTAAGTGCCTAATTCATCTTATTATTTATAAGTGTGACCCTTAATTTTCAAGAGTTCACATGAATCAAAGCAATATCCCAATAACAGAGGATTGTTTATACCAAACAACAAACCCATTCATTAGGCCATAAGGTGAACCACGAAAAGTCCTTTAGAAATTGAATTCCGCTCTGACGTCTGGGAACTACACGATCTCAACTTCACAAAAAAGAACGAGTTACGTTAAACTTACAGCAAAAAGTTCATCGCAAAATATCCTGCCCGTTTTTTATATCGATGCATTTTATAAAGAACTAGCATCTTCAGGTCAATAAGATTTTGGTGCGCGAGCGGTGGCACGGTTCGACACGTGATCGTGCTAGACCAATCGAGTAGCAGATTGATGTCAACACTTCCGGCAACACAGCTGCCTCCATGGTTTTACTTTTCTCCCAAAAGTCTTCTAAAGTGTGCCAAATGGATTCTAAACAGTGCTTTATGCATAGCCGCCTGCACGAAGAGCAATGAGGCAAATGGACGATAAGGTGAACTTTCTCTGTTAAGTCATTTTGATCAATAAAAGTAATCAGTGACAAGGACCATTTGTTTATTCATTCGTTCATTTATTCGCTCCTAACTAAATACAACACTAATCAATCATAAAAAAAATATTTTTTAAAACATATATACATATGTACAATATGTAAAACAATAAAAAATGATGAAAATGAATGATAACATTAACAATGCAACCACTGCAATACAACTCTGAGGCTACACATGTAATGTTAGTCTTCACTGTCAGTGTCAGGGCAGTTATCCTCCTTCTACTTGATTTCATGTTTGTTTGCACAGTGGCAACACCTACACAGGTCTGTACAACAGCGACATGGAACGATAATTGGGTTCACCTTACGGCCTTCATAGCAAAACCATAAGACTATGACCTATGAAACTTCCTCTATAATACTGGGAGCAGTTTTAGTGAATCCATCTAAACATGAGGTACTTTAACGTCAGGTTCACACTGAAAACAAAAGTTACCCCAATCCACCTTTTTCAAATTGAAACCTGGCTACTTTCATATACTTCTCTAAACACAGTGTGTGACATCATGTCGGCATGAACGTGAACCACACACACACAACAAAACTTTATCTCAACAAAATTGGATTTGAGATAAAGTTGGAAAAAATAGGGAGTCCTAGTGTCTAAAGTACAACATTTTTCTGTACAGAGACGTTAGAGTCTGGACACTCAGACAAATTGAAATAAAAATCACATTTTTGTCTTATTTGATGTTTATTTTGGAATCCAATCGAAGCCTGGATTGGGCGCTTTGGTGTGCCTGTATTGGGCCCGCAGGCTGCCAGATGATTATCACTGTCTAAAGTACAGTTTAATCAACTCAGGCTTCATCTGGACAACCTTGTTAACAACAGTGTTAACCACAGTTCCACTGTGTTGTTTTTGTTCATTAAAGTCATTATAGTGTGGTTTGTACATAAACAAACACTGATACTTCACCAAACGTCGATCATTAAGTGCTGTTTCCACACAGCTCCACGTTGGACTGTGGTCCAGCACCTCTGTGCTGAGAGGTGAATTTCACAACAATGAACACCATTGTTATACCTTACCTTGACTACATAATTACATTACAGTAAGGAGTGCATTGTGTCATTTCAACTCCTTGATGTTTACTGTGGGTCTTTAGTCTCAACCCAGAGCAATATAGATGATCGTTGTCCATGACAAACACTGCTTTGATTGTTTCTCACACCAACGTTGTTAATCATTACACAGTGTGAGGCTTTTCTATATAATATATACAATATAATATATTATATAGTATAATATATACAATAATACACTTATTAACTATAATAGTTGATCCCGTGCATTAGAGGATTTTCTCTTCATATTGCAGCGGCAGGGAAGGATTATGACAGTGACTTTGTCCGACAGAGTAAATAGTGAAAACTGTTGGCTTCTGGGAAACAAACTTATAAAGCAGGGGTGTCAAACTAATTTTGATTCACAGCCCGCATACAACCTAATAAGATGTCAAATGGGCCGGACAAGTACAATCATAACATCATTAACTATAAATAACAATAAGTCCATGTTTTTTCCCCTTTGTTTTCATGCAAACAAGTACACATATTAGATATTTATTGTTATTGTAGGTACTACAACAGTCCTTTTAAGGACTCTAACTCCCATAATTCCACTGCTTCCGGTAAATCCACATACGTCACGATCAGTGACCTCCGCAACCTATAAATTGGGGGGTCAGCCCCAATATCAGTCTCTCTGTTCAGGACTTTTTCTCCGTGGGACCCCCAATGAAAAGAGAAACCTGCTCGTCTCAGAAGAATAAGAACCAACGGGCTTTTGTAGACACCATTGCCCACAGTGATAAATGCACTAGTAGCGTCTTTTTCTTAAGGAGGAAGGAAGGAAGGAATCTTTATTGTCATATGCACCAGGGAAGGTGATACGAAATTTAGTTTGTACGACCCGTTCCAAGAAAAAACATGAATAGACAATAAAAACAATACAAATAATTGACAAGGGGGGACAGGAACAGGAAGTCCAGGACGCAGCCCGTGGTCAGCGCACCCTTATATTAGATGAAAAACAACTGAAAAACGATAGGGAAGGAGGAGGAGGAAAAAAAAGACAACTCCAAACTAGGCTCCGTGGGAAGGGGGGCGCAGTGTGGGATTTAGAAAAAAACCTCTCAGCACAAAGCACAATCAAGGACATTATAACAGCACGAGAACATCTGCACATGTGGGAGTGGGGCGGGAGAATGGGGGCGGGGGGTTACAGCACGATCGAGTCTGGGCGGGCTGCTGCAGGACCTGCGCTGCTCTCGACCTTCACCGACCGCGTCGCAACAGGGGAGGGAGG